TCTCTCTCTCTCTCTCTCTCTCTCTCTGTGTTTGTGTGTGTGTGTGTGTTTCCTGTCTAGTCATCAATATTTTCTCTTTAACCCAGGAATCTACTTACTTCGTGCCCTAATATATTATTATGCCCGCACATTCCTCTTTCTTTTCCACCTTCAGAGGTAGATATCCTACATTGTATACCTATCTCTCTTCTCTATTTCTATCTTCCTTTCTGTTTGTTTTTTGTCTGTTTGTTTGCCTGTATTTATGTCCGATTGGTCTTTTCTACCTACTATATTTTAATTCACATTTATATGTGAGACGGCATGGTGAAATTAGAGCTCGTCAAAATAATGAAAATGAAGAAACTGACAATTTTTCCGCAGGTTTAGGAATTTTTATAAATATTTTTTTATTTTGTTTTTCGCTCGTTCGTGCCCATTAAGAATACATTTCTGTGTTGCATTTACTGAAAAACGTTGACTAAAGGCCTAAAAGATGTAAATATTCAGTTCATACGGGCTCTCAAGCTAAAGAAATAAATAAACTTTGGAGATCATCTTCTCGCCAAGTTTACCTCTGAAACCAGGTTACCCCCACTTCCTTCAATAGCCAATATCTTGACTTGTATCGAAGATAAATGGATATTATTTCTTCATCTAAAGCAGGGTAATAAATGGACAGGCTTTAAGGCGATACCAATAACTCCATATATGCCAAAAAAATCGACGAGCGCCTAATTCCACCTCGTCGCTACACATATATTAATATCTTTTATCATTCTTTATCTTATCTCGGTTGCCCCTGTTCCATCCCCCTTGTCTGGCACTCACTATTTTCCTTTCTCACTTCTCTCTCTCTCTCTCTCTCTCTCTCTCTCTCTCTCTCTCTCTCTCTCTCTCTCTCTCACACACACACACACAACACACACACACACACACACACACACACATCCACACCCTCCCTCAACTCACCCATATACCACCCACATCTCCATACACAGAGGCACACCCGCCTTTATTTTTGTGAGCTGCCTCCGATTCCAGAAGGTCATATTTTTACTTTAAAATAAAAACCAAAACAAGCGATATAGTATTGGTCCTCCTCAGCAGTTTTTCACAGATTCCCACATCTAATGTTCGAGTGAACTTTTTTCCAAGCTAACAAAACTGATTTTAAGTACCGCTTAATGGGACTTCTGTGTTGGCGGTTGTCCCTCAAGTGGTAATACAACTCGGTCTCTATCATTCCACGTCTCAAATGTACCAAGTTGTTCAAATTTGTAAAGGTTTTACGCCCCTTGCAACACTGTAAGGTTATTTAAGAGGTGGGATCTCCGAACTTATCACCCACCTCCGATAGAACTTAGCCAAATTCGTGTAAAGTGACTTTGCAAAGGACGCAACGCCAGACCGAAATTTATAAGCCTCGAATTCGACGACTTATTTTAGGAGGCAACAATCTTATTACCTTGGTTAATATCATGCTTATCTGTGCTGCGTATGGTGGCCCTGGTTCGAATCTCCAAAGGGGCTTTCTTGAACTTGGATTGTTTGGGACGCTTTGAGGCTCTCACATACTGAGCGAGGTCCTGTCGATGATGGAGGTTTAGTTCGGAGGTCCCGTCTCTTTTAAACTACATTACATTGTTAAGAGGGGAGTTACTCCAATACGCCATAGCACCAACAATTATAGCGTGTTTAGCCCGAGAAGGCGAGGAAAGAGCGGTAATAAATGCCCCTTTGGCGAGATGTGTTCGTTGACTCCAAGGCATCTCACACTAACCCTCAGAGGGAAAGACTGTAAGCTAGAAGAAGAAGAAGAAGAAGAAGAAGAAGAAGAAGAAGAAGAAGAAGAAGAAG